TTATATTCAGTTTCTCATGTTTCAGACTTTTGCCATAGTGCGCGACGTTTTATTTTATTTTTTTTTTACCCGCTAAGGTGCAGGGCGTATCAATGGGGCAAAGGCAGACTGACATAAACCATTTAAAACAAAGGAAACAATTTTGGTATTTTGATTATTGAAATTTAAAAATGCTATGGTTCCGTTGTTCTATCACACCCGTTTCATACCGGACCACTTACAGCTCCGGTGTTAACACTATAAAATGAACGCTCTCAATCGTGGTATCACCCATGGAGGGATTTCTTTATTTAAATGGGATCATTTTTCAGAGGGATACACAGTGAGGGTATCGTAATTTTAGTAATAACATGTTTATAAGAGCGATTTTCTGTTGTCCTTCCATGGAAGCGGACAGCTTTCAAAACGGAAATAAAACACTTTTTAATATAAGTTGCTGCTTTAACATGATCACAGAACTGCCAAAACATATGTACAAAAATCCTCAATAAAACATAAAATATTAGAAAATCAGACACCAGACAAAGTGAATCACAGGACCATCATCAGCCGGTTTAACGCTGAACTGAAGCGGCGAAGCTACTACTAGCAGGAGCGGAGCTGCGCCAAAAGCTACAAACACTGAATAGAAGAGCTGCTATCGATACAGTTGCAGCTAGGCAGCGACATTTCAGACCAAAAAAATTATATCAGCTAAAATCAAAATCAGCTGGTCAGGCTGTTTAAAGGTCGGTAACCAGGGATCAGCGAAAAAACTGCAATCGGTGCAGCCCTACACACATATTCATGACATTCTTTGATTAAATAAATTTCTCTTAAGCGTTACTCCAATAGCTAAAAATTTTATTTATACCAGGTGAGTCTTTCTCCCCTGAGAATGTGGACCAGTACCGGTACTGGACTGATTCTGAGCGTTCAAATAATTTTAACAGAAGTTTCACATAACTTAGAAGTTGATGTAACAATGTTTGTTTTAGCCACAAAATGATTCTGCTCAGCAGCAAACAACATATCCTCAACTACAGCATAGAGCAGCTCATCGATGCAGCAGCTGTGTAGCCTGACGTAAAAAACCTTTTGCTACACAATGTCAAACATCGAGAAATTTTTATTACTGTTACCAAACGTTATCAAACAAGGCGTTTTGAAGCCAAAAATACCTCAGAAATATACAGAGCCAACCATGAGAATCAACTCGTTTAAAGTTTAAACTCAGTCTCACACAAACACAAAGAGCCTAGCATAAATGTTTGGCTGTTGAACTGGACCGTTCCAGGTCGCTATCAAGCTAGCAGCTTTACTAATCTTTTACATTACATTACATTACCAAGGCACATTAAAACAAACCTTTATCTTGGCTTTTCTGTTCTTTTTGTTTTTGTTTTTTTCCCTCCATGAAGGATAAGTCCTTTATTGAGACATCGTTTTGCTTTTTCAATAAAATAATGATTTCGACATACATTATCAAATATAAATTTTTTGTAAAAACAAATCACTTCATATTGAAATTTGTGTCTTTATTATAATGACATAGAAATTATTACTAAAAAAATCCGCTCCACTGAGGGGTGGCCCTAAGCTGCTGCTTGGTTTGCTGTTGCCATGGGTCGGCCCTGTCTACCACCATGCATCTAACATATCCATCTTGCATCACCCACAATAGAGATGCTCTTAGTTTTCTCTGTCAAGTTCGTAGTTGAACACACAAATTGTTTTTAATAAGAACAGAAATGTTATAGCAAAATCTCAATAAGCAGCTTGTTCTTATCAGTGCTATACAAAGAAGCAAAAAATGTTTGATGTGCAAGAGATAAATAGTTACACTTTACATGGAAAAAGTTTAAAAAGAAAGAAAAACATCAACTTATATCCACTCATTAGTTAGTAGGTATGAAATAAATGTGGTTGAGTAACACTTTGACGGGGTGTGAATAAGACTGACATGACACTGTCATAAACACCTGTCATGAACATGAGTAATTCATGTCTATGGGCCCCACAAGATGATAGATTTCTTCTTTACCAAGAAGACCAAGGCACTGTGCGCCTGTTTGTACACTGCTGCCTCTCACTGGTGGAGATGGTGTATTGCACTACTTTAGGATCAATTAATTTAAGAAATTTAAAGAAAGTGTCAGAGCAATATAACTTTACCACGTAAAGCTAATTTTTAAAGTTTAATCGGTAATACTTTTATAACAAATGTATGTCAGATCATAATTTCTTGGTTAATGTCAAGTTGTCATAACAAAGACATTTTGGATAATGTCAACTTTGTATTAAATGTGTCATCATTTACTGAATGACACTGTATGACAAAAGTCATAAATATTCATGAAGACTTATTCATGTTTACGACAAGTGTTTACGACAGTATCATGTCAGTCTTATTCACAAGCCGTGAAATAAAGTGTTACCTGTGGATGTTTTGGAAATTTCCCCAGCCTGTAAATTTCTGCACAGAACTGATGTTACAGTAGGCGGGAGCGAGGGTTTGATGACTAAGACTCTACTCTGTATAAATACAACATCTACAACCCCAACCAGCAGCACAGTTCAGACAGGCAGCAACAGGGACCAACTTCCAAAACACAGAAGACATCACTGAAGTGGAAACTTTGCCGATCTTCTGAGATTTTTTTTTTCTTTTGACTTTGGTTCATACGTGATTTTCTGTCTTTGAAGTTAGTTTTTGCATTTTTGTTGCATTTTGTGCCGCAGCAGAGCTCGCCATGAGGTGCTGTGCGTTAGTGGTGTGTTTACTTTTGGGAATAGGCGTGCAGAACGGATGGAGCCGTCCTGTCAAGTCGGTCCTTGTCACCTCCCCAGGGAACATCGTCAAAAAGGTGGCAGATGTGGAGCTGGCACAAGTGAGGAGCAGATGGCAGTGTTGTGGTCAAGATCACCTAACCCGAGACCAAGACAAGACCAAGACCGAGGGATGTCAAGACTGGGTCAAGATCAAAACCAGCCCCCCACGCTACATGACACTATAAAATGTGAAATATGATCAAAATTGCTTCTCAAATTGATCTGAAAGATCCATATTTCCATAAAAACACCTAGATATTAAATACTTCATGGATTTTACCAATATCAAATGGAGAACAAACTCTTTGTTCTACTTTGCTTCCATCTCTGTGCTACAAATCTGCAATGGTCTCGTGCCATCCCTAAAAAGATAACGCCCAAACATTTTCTGTGCCCCATCTATGGATTACAAATAGCCGTCTGGTTGAAAGATGTATGTGGGACGGGGGAGGAAGGAAAGTATGTGAGGTGAAGGAGCGTAGAAAACATACCCTCGCTCTAGTTGTCCCCACCGTCTGTGAAAGCAAAGTGCTGCTGAGTTAGCTGTGGCCATCGGATTTCTTATTATGTGTGGAGCGCTGTCCTATTACTGACGATTAGACAGACATATTCTACTGCTCAGAGAAAACCACTGCGCATGTCTCAGAGCGCCACGTGCAAGTGAAGAGTGGGGAGTGGAGGGAGAGTAACAGAAACACGTCATTGCTTCGATTTTAATCGGTGCGTTTTGCGTCCACTGAAAACAAGGATGTTAACAAATAAGCTGGACAATATGCTGTACGTTTAGTACGTTCACAGTTGCGGTCTTTACGACTTGAAATAAAATACCAAGTCCTCAGTGCCCGAGACCAAGACAAGACCGAGACCAAATGCGGTCGAGTCCGAGATGAGACCGAGACCATCAAAAAATGGTCTCGAGTCCAAGAACGATCTCAAGTGCTACAACCCTGGCAGAGAGGTTATTCTTCTTTTCATAGTCTGAGACTCCCAGAATGGAGTTTTAATAAAGTTGTTTGGGGGAAACAAATTACCTGAATAGAGACTTATATCACAATGTTAATGGAAATATTTACTCTCTAAATTAAAGCTACAGACGTCTTTTATGAAAACAATTTATAAATGTGTGACATTACACAAATTGAGAATGGGAGTGTTTGGCTGAGCTCTGGTGTGTTTTGTCTTGTTTGACAGAGTTATCTGAAAAAGTTTGGTTACATGGTGACGGAGCAGCGCAGTGGCTTCAAGTCCAAGGTGTCCATAGCAAAGGCTCTGAAGATGATGCAGAGACAGATGGGTCTGAAGGAGACTGGAAAACTGGACAAGCCGACACTGAATGCCATGAAGCAACCTCGCTGTGGTGTTCCTGATGTGGCTAATTACGTCGTATATGGCGGGGTACACAAATGGGACCATAACAATATTACATACAGGTGAGTGGAAGGAAGAAATACTATGTGTCATTACATTAATGATTACAGAGTGAGATTTTTTATTCTACCAAATATGTTCTAGTAATATAAAAAAAGCCTTTGCTTGTTAATAAATTGGTTTTTAAGGCAGAGTTTCAGATTTTTTTTTTAAATAGCACTTTATACAAAAAAAAAAATCATAGATGTTCAGATGGCATTGGTTCATGCTATGGCATGCAAAGGGAAGTTTATATAATGATAACTTAAATTGCTGGAAAACATGCAAATCAAGAGAAAAATAAAAACTGACATACTACCCTGTGCCTCGTGCGATTTCACCAGAAATGTTTTTGCCTTGGTAGGTTACATCTTTAATAAAAACCATTTCACAGCCTAAAATCAGAAGCAAATTATATCATGACATGTTGTGCTACACACACAACTATAGTTTCAGAAAACTCTCTCTTGTAGCTTGTGGTGGAAAATTACTATAAGTTAAAATCTGTTATATGAAATGCTTGCAAACTCTCACCAGAATAACTATTTGGGTTACATGTACAAGGTTGGAAGTTGTTTCCCACAGCTGCATTAGAACCAGACTGTTTCACCCATTTGTTTTGAATTCCTTATCTTTGATATAAAACTCATGTGTTGACTCTTCCTGGCAGAGCTTTCCATCCAGAACTGCTTCATTATTGATTGTCCCACAAACTCTCTGTATTGTGCACAATATATGAATAATCCTGATTGAGTGATTTCACCTGAACAGTTCTAGGTAATAATTTTTTTCACAACAATTTGGTGCCGTGACCCGGATCCCTTGACTGGACATCCGAGGACATTGACAAACAGCGTTTTGGTACCGACCTGGACTAAAAATGTTGATAAGTTTCCATCAGACTAGATCTGATAGTCATTTTGAGTTCACTGTGTCTTCAGGATCCTGAACTATTCTCTTGATATGGAAAGGACTGTGATTGATGATGTCTTTGCAAGAGCCTTCAAGGTGTGGAGTGATGTCACTCCTCTGACATTTACCCGCCTTCTTCAAGGCGATGCAGACATCATGATCTCCTTTGAAACAGGTGGTATGTGCTCGTTTTTACATTTCTAAGTCAAACATTTGCACTATAACAAATTAAGAAGCTGAATTCTAAACATCAAACATTGATGAGCTGCTTCATGTTCTTTTTAGACCACGGGGACCCATACCCCTTTGACGGTAAGGATGGCGATCTAGCTCACGCCTTTTCTCCTGGTGTGGGCATTGACAGGGAAGCCCACTTTGACAATGATGAATACTGGACTCTAGGAAAAGGAAAAGGTAACTACACCTCAGAAATCAGGTGCTTCTACCTTCCTCCTTCCTCTGGTGTTCTTTGCACAGATTTCCTTTAACAGACAATCCAATCCGTCTTCTCAGTGGTGAAGACTTACGCTGGCAATGCGGGAGGTGCCATATGTCACTTCCCCTTCACTTTCCATGGGAGATCGTACACCACCTGCATCACTGAAGGTGCAAACAACAGCATACCCTGGTGTGCAACCACAGCCGATTACGACACAGACAAGAAATACGGCCTCTGCCCAACTGAACGTATGCATGACAAAAATGACAAGCCTGAAGCTATCCATTATGTTTATGAGCTTGTGAAGGAAAACTGGAACTCATCCAATGACATTTTCAACTGTAATCCTCACAGTCTTGTTCACATTTGACGGAAACGCGAATGGAGCCCCCTGTGTCTACCCCTTCATCTTCCAGGGTAAGATGTATAAGAGCTGCACCACCGACGGTCGCACCGACGGAAAACGCTGGTGTGCCACCACTAGCAACTATGACACAGACGGGATATATGGCATCTGTCCCAAACGTGGTGGGTAACAGAAAACACAAGGCGTGAAAGTCCTGCCACAGTGGCTTGTTGCTTTGTTTAACCACAGTTATTTTGTGTCTTTTTGTCCAGACACTGCTGTAATTGGAGGAACCTCGGATGGAGATGCCTGCCACTTTCCTTTTGTGTTCCGGGGCAAGGAATACCACTCATGTACTAGTGACGGTTTAGTAGGCAGCAAATTGTGGTGTGCCACCACAGATAACTTTGATAGAGACAAGAAATTTGGCTACTGTCCCAACCGTGGTGGGTAACAGAAAACACAAGGTGTGAAAGTCCTGCCACAGTGGCTTGTTGCTTTGTTTAACCACAGTTATTTTGTCTCTTTTTGTCCAGACACTACCGTAATTGTGACAAGCTTAAATGGAGATCCCTGCCACTTTCCTTTTGTATTTCGGGGGACGCTATACTACCAATGTACGAATGACGGGAGGACAGACTTCAGATTGTGGTGTGCCACCACTGGCAACTATGATAGAGACCAGAGAGGGGGTTTATGTCCTGACCTGGGTGAGCGACACTAATGCAAGAATTTGTTCTGCGTTTATCATTTTATGTGATTTATGAAATTTCTAACCTGCTATCTTCCAGGTATTAGCCTGTTCCTGGTGGCTGCCCACGAGTTCGGACACTCCCTGGGTTTGGATCACTCCAACATTAGAGGAGCTCTCATGTACCCTTCGTACAGCTATGTGGAGGATTTCTCCCTGGATCAGGACGACATTGATGGTATTCAGTACCTCTACGGTGAGCGGACAACTCAGTACTCTTTCACAATAAATCTCGTCAAACTCATGAAAACTTTGCCTTAAAGAACATTCCCATATTTTGCAGGAAATAAAACAGGCCCTGGTCCTACTCTCAACGCCACAGTAATACCTAATCCGACTAGTTCATCTGTTGTGACAGTGTCACCAATTGTAGATCCCACCAAAGACCCCTGCAAGATGCTCAAGTTTGACACCATCACTGTGATTCAGAAACATCTGCATTTCTTCAAAGATGGGTAAGCAAATAGCTAGTTCTACTTATGTTCTAGAAACATAACCTATTGAGGTGCTAATCTTGCATTTCTGGTTGACAGGTATTTCTGGAAGGTATCAAGCAAGACAGACAGAGGTCGAAAGGGACCATTTTCCATTTCTCAGAGTTGGCCAGCTCTACCTGCTGTCATTGACTCTGCCTTTGAGGATGTTCAGACCACAAAAATATACTTCTTTTCAGGTAAGGAGTGTTCTTTCAAGAGCTTATCAGAGCACTGAAATGTTAGACAAAGAGTTTTAATCATATTTTATTGTTACATTAGGAAGCAGGTTCTGGGTGTACACAGGAAGCAGTGTGCTAGGTCCCCACAGTATTGAGAAGCTTGGTTTGCCCCCAAGTGTACAGAAGGTGGAGGGAGCGCTACAGAGAGGGAAGAGCAAAGTGCTTCTCTTCAGTGGAGAAAACTTTTGGAGGCGAGTAGAAATTGCCCCCCTTTTTAAGACAAAAGATCTATAAATTAACCCATCTTGTTAAAGGACATACAGTAGATCTCAATCTATCTCTGATCCCTACAGGTTTGATCTCAAGACCCAAATGATTGACAAAGGATACCCCAAATATACCAGAGCCAGCTTTGGAGGTGTCCCTAATGATGCTCATGATGTGTTCAAGCAAAAAGGTAAACATGCCTTCTACAACTAAGCTCGGGAACACAAATGCACAAACTTCAACAAAACATGGCATACATTGTGGTGGTTGTAACATCAACGTTTCTCTTTCAGGCAACATTTACTTCTGCAGAGATCTTTTCTACTGGCGCCTGAATTCTGGCAGGGTGGTGGACCACACCGGCAATGTGAAGTACGATCTTCTGAAATGCCCAAAATAATCAAGAAATAACAACTGAGATACATGCACAGATGGGCAGTGAGGCTGGAGCAACCAAATGTTTCTTTGTGCAGGTGTCTGAAAGAATGTGATGCAGTGTTTGTTCATCATGCCTTTTGTATGATGTATGTGCTTTATGCAATGTGAACGACTAACTTCTGTTGAATTTGGCTGATTATTACTCATACAGCATTGGACTGAATGCAAGTCAAAGGCCCAGAAGGCAAACAACCATTGTTTGCACTCAGTCTAACATGCTGTGAACTGATGACCATAGTGGCCTATAATTTGAGACCCATACAAGTAAATTCAACACATGCTTTCTGGGTAAAACTCTGGATTTGCAGATGAAATTTCATGTCTGTCTGGTTCAGACCCTTGTCAGTATTCAAATATTTATTTTGGTATTCATAACAATATCTAAAATTATTATTTTATGCCATGAGCCTATTTGTTTTGTGTGGTTTTATGAGTTTTTCTGAAAATGGTTTCAAAGCCATAAACTGCACTGGAAGACATTCTGTGTCTCCTTAATTAAAATTATTTATAAAACTAATAATTTTGTACAAATATTCCAGCTTTCAATTCAATAAAAATTATGTGAGAACATTCTTCCTTTGTCAGCGTCTTTATCATTTGCAAATACTTTAAGTATGGTGGTGGAAGCATCATGTTGTGGAAATTGGTGGAGTTCATAAAACAAGAACATTCCATGGAAACAATGAAGCAAGATATTATTTAGAAAAACTTAGAAAGAAATTAGACAAAATGAAGATGGTCAGTGAGAAGCAGATGAATGTATACAAATATACATTGGTGATGTTAGAGGAGAATGGCAGACTAAAATAAAGATAAATAATTAAGCAAGTAATGTTTATGTACATTTGTAAACACACAACACACTGAATCTTGAAGTAGATTGGCTACAGCAAACTGTCACACCAAGCACAAGTGTTAAGTAGGAACAGGAAAGTGAGGCAACAATTCACACAGACTCACCAAAATTAGACAGTGACAAATTGGAAATATGTTGCCTTGTCAAATGAGTCTCAATTTCAGCTGCAACAGTCAGACAATAGACTCAGAATATTAAAATAGCATGAATCTGTGTGGATTCTGTGGAAGAAAAAAGCTAAATCTTCCACACACTAACATAAATTTTGTCTGACCCTTACTGGTTAAAATATTACACTTTCTTGTGCCTTACTATAAGATTCTATCCTTTAGATTTCATTTGCGTGAATGCGTGTTCAGCATCTTGCTTTTCCCTCTTTGTGGCGACATCAAAACTGTGATTGATACTGAGCTGGCAGGAGGGAGTAAACAGATGGCTCTTTTTGTCTTCATAGACACAGACTCCCAAAACCAGATTCAGTCAAGCTGCGCAGGAAACTAAAGACCTGTTACAGAAATCTGTGTCGCAATGTTAATGAATGTTTATTTTTTGCATTTAAACCATGAGAGAGTTTCACTTCAGATTATAAATGCCCCTCAAAGGCAAAGAAGGAATGTTAATATTGCAGAAAACCAAAGTGGCTTCATGAGCACTTGGTAATAAACACAAAGCTTGTATTTTGATACAAAAGAAAACATGAAAAAGTTTAAGAAAATCCAAATATTGCATAAGTCCATTCACCTTTTATTTCTATTATAAAAAATATTGATTCAGTGAAAAATATTTCTATATGCTGCACAATATATTTACTCTGTTCTTGCTTGAAGCTCCTTCTGCATTTAAGGCATGTAAGGCAATGCAATCTTTATTTTCAGGTTAAAAACTGACCATTTTTAAGACGATAATAAACTAGTCGGTTCCATAAACCAGCCCTCTTTTTAGCTCAGGTACTATTTTTATGAAGTTGTCTCTGTTTCAGGAGTGGTTTATTTTCCAAACTTTTCTACACTGGGGACTTCAGCTCTTTGAATCAGCTACAAATGGGGAACAATGACAACATAAGCAGCAACAACAGCTAACACATGGGTCAACATGATGCTTTTATCTATTCTAAAGCTATGCCAAACTATAAGAATGTTAATAGTAACAATATGCTTTACTTTAGTCATGTGTATTAATTAGGTTGATCTTTGCATCTTAGCACTCCACAATTACAAANTGNTGACCCAAAGTGGGGTCTCCACCCAGACTTTGGGTTCCACTGGCTTAACTCAAGTAAAGTGCTAGTTGTTGCCCATTCATGGATATGTCTGGTAGCTCGTGAAGCACTACCTCCACGCCTTGCGAGTCTTCTTCTATCCCCCCCTTTTTCTTCCAATAAGCTTCACATTATTATGCATTGAGACAGCACGCTCTGTGCAGCCAGCTTCTTTAACAATGACTGAGTATGTTAAGGACTGCCGACTGAATAGATGCATTGCAAATTAGCTCAGGCTATAAATGTTACAGTTTTGGGTATTATGTATACTCAACAATTGTCGCCATTCAAACAAGCAACAACCAAACAAACCAGTCTACTCAAAATAAGTTTTCATCCGTCTTATACAATATTGTACTTTTTCAAGAAACTGATACACATCTGCCTTCATTCAATAAACCAGTAAATAAATTTACTTTCATGTGAAACTTCTAAATTGCGAGTGACAGGGCTGAAATGATATTTGAAAAAAAAAAGCTGTATATGGCAAATCAATTTCTTTCTTCCATACTTTTTCTTCCTTGCACTGCTTTATTAAACAGATACTGAAAGACGCCAGGTAACGTAGGGTAACTAACACAAAAGCCTGTGTTCATCATCATCAAATGTGCGCACGTCTCCCCCTAGTGTTTAAACACCACAATGACTTCTGAGTCTTAATGAAATAGCAGCTTAATTACATCTGCCTGTGTATTTTCTTGATATAGACTGAAAAATGTAAAATCTGTTTTGTTTTGTTTTTTTCAAGCAGCTGAAAAGTGCATAAGAAGCATGATTACTATTCATTCTTTACTACAAATGTAACAGAGTTCCACCGATCAACTATATTAAATGGCATAATGAGGATTATGGTGAAAAAAATCAATAAAAAAATCTCTTAAAGTCTCTTATAGTCCAATTAGCTTTCCGAGACAGGTCGTTGTACAAAAACCATTTACCAGAAGACTTAACATGCTGGGTTTCCAGAAATTGTATGTATATATTATATATATATATATATATATATATATATATATATATATTGGCCTTTATTTTGGTAACTTTTATTCAGTGGCCAAAATAAAATGAACACAGAGTGAAGCCTTAAATACTCTGATGAAATTTTTAATCTGATCAGAAAAATGCACCAAAGGAATTTGATGAACACATATTTGTATTTTATTCAATAAATTGTACAAACTACAAGGCATTTCTAGAAATAAGAATTGAAATTCAAACATTGAAATTATGTGACCCCCACATTGTTTATGTGACCAAACAAAGTGTGGTCGCATTTCTTTGGTTAAATTGTGATCTTAGTTTAGGATTTTACCCTGTTTTGAAATGTTTGGGGCAATGTCACGCAGTAGCACAAATGCGCCACTAGATGGCAGACATGACGGGACTGACGGTGCAACAGTTCTGTGTGGAAAAATCTTCCCTCCATTCGGATGAGAGCTACCAGCACAGCATCACCTTCTCCTGTGGCTCACTCGTTTCTCCTGTTAAAACAGGTTATTTGGATCTGCCCGCCTGTCCCTCCACCTGGGACCTGCAACAATTACAGTGAAGAGCAGACAGGGCCGGCCCAAGCCTCCATGGGGCCCTAATCAGTCTTTTGATGTCCGCCTCAGAGGCCACATTTTGAAAGGAAGTTGGACTTTACCTATTAAAGTTTTAGGTGCTCAGCATCATGGATGTAGCTTTGACTTGTTCGCGACTGAATTCACTGTTTCTTTTTGGCCAAATATCTCACGGCAAAATGAAACTGACGACAACCTACCAAGCCGAGTGTGTTTAAAGGTGAAAGGGCAGCTGCATTCAAACACAAAACCACTATCAGAAGATAGTTACTTTCTATCAGAAGATAGAAAGTAACTATCTTTACTTTCTCTCCTTAAAGGTGGAAAAAGATTAAAAATACCCACTATCTGCCTTTTAGATAGTTACTTTCTTTCCTTAAAGGTGGAAAAGGTTAAAAATACCCACTATCTGCCTTTTAGATAGTTACTTCCTTTCGTTAAAGGTGGAAAAAGATTAAAAATACCCACTATATGACTTTTAGATAGTTACTTTCTTTCATTAAATGTGGAAAAAGATTAAAAATACCCACTATCTACGCCTTAGATAGTTAAGTTTTGCTCACCAGCAGTAGGAGCCTGTCCCAGCAGATATGAAAAAAACAAACAAACAATTGAAACAGTCCTCACCCAATAAATTTATTGAGGTTCTTATGGATCCGGTCGGTCGGCAGTCACAGGCACGACACCTCCAGCTCCCCTCGTTCAATTTGGAGGTGAACTGAAGACAAAATCCTCAGATTGGCCAATGCATCCGATCTCTTGTCGCCCTTGACCTCTCCACCTCGCCGGATCCTTTCCGTGACTGCAAATTGTTGTGGAAATTTTCCTTTAACAAAGAGTGAGGCAAAACTGTTTCAAGAACCAGACAAAGAATATATTCTTAATCAGTATTTATTCGAAGGCTCAACAGTGTTCAAACGTTCACTGAACGCAGTCAGGAGAAAGAGTCCCGAGCAGAACACAGCTTACAGTTTTATAGGTAGAGGTTCATTCAGATCGCATAGTTCGGTAATCTACTTGGTTACAGGACAGACAGCAGACTGGACAACAGACACATGTGTCTTCTTCACTAGGAGCCAGGAGAGATAAAGGAACAATTCAATGACTTCATTGTATTGCTAAGGCCAATGACGCCATTGTCATGTTAAGCTCAGAAAACCTGCTTCAGAAGGATCTTAATGATTAAGCTAATCATAGTAACCTTAAATTTTCCCACTACAAGCTCCACCAACCGCACGGACGGGAGATGGTCGGACCAGTCCTTCTGCAAAAACAGGAGTCTGATGGCGACCCCAAGGCGTCTGAAGGCCAAGTATGGTTCTGCCAAAATCTCCACGTAGTCCTTAATTGTAGATATCAACTCATTCCAATGTGCAAGGTCCATGTTGTAGATTATGATATTTTTTTTTCTATTTTGCATTCCTCACCGCAGTTACTTTTGGTCGGGTTCTTCTGTCATGATATGCAGTGAAGGTGGTGAGGCAGACTCAGCGGACCCAGGTTTTAGGGAATGAAATGATTAATTTAATAGTGATGGGCTATCTGAATCCAGGATGCGAAGCTTGTACCGAATAAAAAGGGGGTGTGTCCGATGAAGCCCCGCTTCAAGGCTTGTCATCTTGTTGAGAACCACGTGACTGGCAACAAACAATGCCTCGCATTACCTGGATCACGGGACTGCTTCATTTTGCGTTTCGGTTTTCAAAGTAAAAGCGCGATGAGCCATGCTGCGTCATTGGTTGTTGACCATTTGGTCGTGCATCAGAGGAGGATATTTGTCTTCAGTGGCCAAAATAAAATGAACATTGACCAACATATTTGATGTGTATTGATGATGGCACCCATCAAAATGTAATGTTTGTTACTGGTTTTCTTAATTGTAGATTATGGTGTTTTTTATGACTTAGACTCTAGAAAGTTTCACTATTATTTGTAGTCTGATTAGCAAAGATATATCAGTTTTGCACAGCAGAAACAGATTTAATCTTGTTGCAGAACTAAAATTCAACATGTAGCCAAATATACGAGATCAGAGCCAATTAGAAATCCAAGAAAAAGTGAACGCCCCAACAGGCACTGCACTTTCAAGACACTAAAACATCAAATGTCTTTATTGTCAAATCTGTCTATGACATAAAAAAAAACTCAACACAACCACTGACGTTCAACATAAACCAGGATTAGACAAATCATTTTAATAATTAAAACAGATGACAATCAAATATGGTTTCATTGATTCTCCTGTTACTAAACATGAGCTTGATGAAAACTGTGACAATATTGCATTTAGTAATTTTTGGAAGTATGATCCAACTGAGTGACAAGGCTGTTAAAAAACTAATGACAGACTTGACGGCAGACTAGATGCGACAAGACAAGGACCCAACAAGGAACACAGGTGGGTTTAAATACACATGAAGATAATCAGGAGAAACAACAGACAGCTGGGGACGATCAAATAGTAGATGGGACAACAAGGAGACTCAACAGAACACAGAATCCTAAATAAACATACAAAAAACCCAAATGACTACAATGCCCATCTTATCCCCTAATCTTAATATTTATCAGCAAAGGTTTAAAAATCAGCCTCCGTCCTCTTCTGCTCTACAGTGAGAGGTTTGACTGACAGACCGACCCAACAGGTCAGGTCTCCACATTTACAATATTCACCCCACTGTTTCAACTCACTGACTTTCTTGCTATATTCAGCGACATTTCAGACCAAAAAAAATTATATCAGCTAAAATCAAAATCACCAGACCAGGCTTTTTAAAGATCAGTAACCAGGGATCGGCCAAAAAATTGCAATCGGTGCAGCCCTACACACATATTCATGACATTCTTTGATTAAATAAATTTATCTTAAGTGTAACTCCAATAGCTAAAAATTTAATTTATACCAGGTGAGTCTTTCTCCCCTGAGAATGTGGACCGGTACCGGTACTGGGCTGATTCTGAGCCTTCAAATAATTTTAACAGAAGTTTCACATAACTTAGAAGTTGATGTAACAATGTTTGTTTTCGCCACAAAATGATTCTGCTCAGCAGCAAACAACATATCCTCAACTACAGCATAGAGCAGCTCATCGATGCAGCAGCTGTGTAGCCTGACGTAAAAAACCTTTTGCTACACAATGTCAAACATCGAGAATTTTTTATTATTGTTACCAAACGTTATCAAACACGGCGTTTTGAAGCCAAAAATATCTCAGAAATATACAGAGTCAACCATGAGAATCAACTCATTTAAAGTTTAAACTCAGTCTCACACAAACACAAAGAGCCTAGCATAAATGTTTGGCTGTTGAACTGGACCGTTCCAGGTCGCTATCAAGCTAGTAGCTTTACTAATCTTTTACATTACATTACATTACCAAGGCACATTAAAACAAACCTTTATCTTGGCTTTTTTCTGATCTTTTTGTTTTTTCCCTCCTTGAAGGATAAGTCCTTTTTTGAGACATCGTTTTGCTTTTTCTGACCGGAGCTTTGGATGTTTGGATGCGCTCTGCTCATTGCACAGCAGCTCATGTTACCGGTGAAGTGTGCGGTACCTGCCGCGGCCACCAGGGGGCCCCAGAAATTTTTATTTTTTTAATCCATAAAATAATGATTTCTACATACATTATCAAATATATATTTTTGTAAAAACAAATCACTTCATATTGAAATTTGTGCCTTTGATATCATAATGACAGAAATTAATACTAAATAAATAAATAAATCAGCTCAACTGAGGGGTGGCCCTAAATGGCTGCTTGGTTTGCTTTTGCCTTGGGTCGGCCCTGTCTACCACCATGCATCTTACATATCCATCTTGCATCACCCACAATAGTGATGCTCTTATTTTTATCTGTCACGTTCATAGTTCAACACACAAATTGTTTTTTAATAAGAGAAATGTTATTGAAATATATGGGAAGAAACTTGCATGAGAAAGACACTTTTGACTGAAGGCACATCACCAAAACATGTGAGGTAACATATGCTGTGAAATAACAAGTGTGCGTCATTATTTATGATCTGGGTAATTTCTGAGTGAAGTTAGTGGACTATAGCATCAACAGCTACAGTGAGGAGATAGATAGTTCTCAAAAATCAGACCAAACACACACTGATGTAGGGAAACTGTGAGAAAAAACTTAATAATAATGTTTGTTTCATTTGGTAGCTGTTTTATTCCCTTTTCTATCTCTTACTTTTAGTCTATTTAATGAAACTGAGTAAAGTTTCCATCACTATTGCTATTAATCAAACAAAAGTAGACACTCAAGGGACTGAGTACATAAAGCATCAGAACACAGTTTTCTTATTCTGCTTTATCCTTGACCTAATTTTGCAATCCAGCTTCTAAAACAGAGGAAGCAGAACTCTATAGAAAAATGTGGAAGCAGATATTTGTTACACACAATTATGTAAACAATTTATGCAAGTTGATTTGATCATCTAATCAACTATACATGGGTTACTTTGTTTTTACATATCTGTCGAAGAGTAAGAAGCAAAATCTTAATAAGGAGCGTTTTCTTAGCAGTGCTATACAAAGAAGCAAAAAAAATGTTTGATGTGCAATAGATAAATAGTCACACTTTACATGGAAAAAGTTTAAAAAGAAAGAAAAACATAAACTTATTACCCACTCAGTTAGTAGGTATGAAATAAATGTGGATGAGTAACACTTTATTTGACGGGGTGTGAATAAGACTGACATGACACTGTCATAAACACCTGTCATGAACATGAGTAATTCATGTCTATGGGCCCCACAAGATGATAGATTTCTTCTTTACCAAGAAGACCAAGGCACTGTGCGCCTGTTTGTACACTGCTGCCTCTCACTGGTGGAGATGGTGTATTGCACTACTTTAGGATCAATTAATTTAAGAAATTTAAACAGTGTCAGAGCAATATAACATCACCACGTAAAGCTAATTTTTAAAGTTTAATCGGTAATACTTTCCTAACAAATTTATGTCAGATCATGATTTCTTGGTTAATGTCAAGTTGTCATAACAAAGACATTTTGAATAATGTCAACTTTGTATTAAAAGTGTCATAATTTACTGAATGACACTTTATGACAACAGTCATAAATATTCATGAAGACTTATTCATGTTTACGACAAGTGTTTACGACAGTATCATGTCAGTCTTATTCACAAGCCGTGAAATAAAGTGTTACCTGTGGATGTTTTGGAAATTTCCCCAGCCTGTAAATTTCTGCACAGAACTGATGTTACAGTAGGCGGGAGCGAGGGTTTGATGACTAAGACTCTACTCTGTATAAATACAACATCTACAACCCCAACCAGCAGCACAGTTCAGACAGGCAGCAACAGGGACCAACTTCCAAAACACAGAAGACATCACTGAAGTGGAAACTTTGCCGATCTTCTGAGATTTTTTTTCTTTTGACTTTGGTTCACACTTGATTATCTGTCTTTGAAGTTAGTTTTAGCATTTTTGTTGCATTTTGTGCCGCAGCAGAGCTCGCCATGAGGTGCTGTGCGTTAGTGGTGTGTTTACTTTTGGGAATAGGCGTGCAGAACGGATGGAGCCGTCCTGTCAAGTCGGTCCTTGTCACCTCCCCAGGGAACATCGTCAAAAAGGTGGCAGATGTGGAGCTGGCACAAGTGAGTAGCAGATGGTTTATTCTTCTTTGCATAGTCTGAGACTCCCAGAACAGAGTTTTAATAAAGTTGTTCAGGGAAAAAAATTACCTGAACAGAGACTGATATCACAATGTTAATGGAAATTTTTACTTTCTAAATTAAAGCTACAGATGTTTTTTATGAAAGCAATTTATAAATGTCACAAAACACAAATTGAGAATGGGAGTGTTTGGCTGAGCTCTTGATGTGCTCTGTCCTTTTTGACAGAGTTATCTGAAAAAGTTTGGTTACATGGCGACGGAGCAGCACGGTGACTTCCGGTCCAAGGTGTCCATAGCAAAGTCTCTGAAGATGATGCAGAGACAGATGGGTCTGAAGGAGACTGGAGAACTGGACAAGCTGACACTGGAGGCCATGAAGCGACCTCGCTGTGGTGTTCCTGATGTGGCCAATTACAACGTATATGGCGGGGAACCCAAATGGGACCATAACGATATTACATACAGGTGAGTGGAAGGAAGAAATACTATGTGTCATTACATTAATGATTACAGAGTGAGATTGTTTATTCTACCAAATATGTCCTTGTAATATAAAAAAAACTTTTGCTTGTTAATAAATTGGTTTTTAAGGCAGAGTTTCAGATTTTTTTTTTAAATAGCACTTTATACAAAGAAAAAATCATAGATGTTCAGATGGCATTGGTTAATGCTACGGCATGCAAAGAGAAGTTTAAATAATGATAACTTAAATTGCTGGAAAACATGCAAATCAAGAGAAAAATAAAAACTGACATACTACCCTGTGCCTCGTGCGATTTCACCAGAAATGTTTTTGCCTTGGTAGGTTACATCTTTAATAAAAATCATTTCAGTGCCTAAAATCAGAAGCAAATTATATCATGACATGTTGTGCTACACACACAACTATAGTTTCAGAAAACTCTCTCTTGTAGCTTGTGGTGGAAAATTACTATAAGTTAAAATCTGTTATATGAAATGCTTGTGAACTCTCACCAAAATAACTATTTGGGTTACATGTACAAGGTTGGAAGTTGTTTCCCACAGCTGCATGAGAACCAGACTGTCTCACCCATTTGTTTTGAATTCCTTATCCTTGATATAAAACTTGTGTTGACTCTGCCAGGCAGAGCTTTCCATCCAGAACTGCTTCATTATTGATTGTCCCACAAACTCTCTGTATGGTGCACAATATATGAATAAACCTGATTGAGTGATTTCACCTGAACAGTGTTAGGTAATATTTTTTTCATGACAATTTGGTGCCGTGACCCGGATCCCTTGACTGGACATGCGAGAACATTGACAAACAGCGTTTTGGTACCGACCTGGACTAAAAGTGTTGATTAGTTTCCATCAGACTAGATCACATAGTTATTTTGAGTTCACTGTGTCTTCAGGATCCTGAACTATTCTCCCGACATGGACAGCAATGTGACTGATGATGTCTTTGCAAGAGCATTCAGGGTGTGGAGTGATGTCACTCCTCTGACATTTACCCGCCTTTTTCAAGGCGAAGCAGACATCATGATCTCCTTTGAAACAGGTGGTATGTGCTCGTTTTTACATTTCTAAGTCAAACATTTGCACTCTAACAAATTAAGAAGCTGAATTCTAAAAATCAAACATTGATGAGCTGCTTCGTGTTCTTTTTAGACCATGGCGATCTACTTCCCTTTGATGGTAAGGATGGCATTTTAGCTCACGCCTTTCGTCCAGGTGTTGACATTCTGGGGGACGCCCACTTTGATGATGACGAAGACTGGACTCTAGGAAAAGGAAATGGTAACTACACCTCAGAAATCACTTGCTTCTACCTTCCTCCTTCCTCTGGTGTTCCTTGCACATATTTCCTTTAACATACAATCCAATCTGTCTTCTCAGTGGTGAAGACTTACTTTGGCAATGCGGAAGGCGCCATGTGTCACTTCCCCTTCACTTTCGAGGGGAAATCGTACACCAGTTGCACCACCGAAGGCCGTTCCGACAACCTGCCCTGGTGTGCAACCACAGCTGACTACGACGAAGATAAGAAATACGGATTCTGCCCAAGTGAACGTAAGCATAACAAAAATGACAAGCCTGAAGTTATCCATTATGTTTATGAGGTTGTGAAGGAAAACTGGAACTCGTCCAACTACACTTTCAACTGTAATCCTCATAGTCTTGTTCACATTTGACGGAAATGCGGATGGAGCCCCCTGTGTCTTCCCCTTCATCTTCCAGGGTAAGATGTATAAGAGCTGCACCACCGACAGCCGCATTGACGGACAACGTTGGTGTGCCACCACTAGCAACTATGACACAGACAAGAAATATGGCATCTGTCCCAAACGTGGTGGGTAACAGGAAACACAAGGCGTGAAAGTCTTGCCATAGAGGCTTGTTGCTTTGTTTAACCACAGTTATTTTGTGTCTTTTTGTCCAGACACTGCTGTAATTGGAGGAACCTCGGATGGAGATGCCTGCCACTTTCCTTTTGTGTCCCGGGGCAAGGAATACCACTCATGTACTAGTGAAGGGAGGACAGACGGCAAATTGTGGTGTGCCACCACTGACAGCTATGATAGAGACCAGAGATGGGGTTTCTGTCCTGACCTGGGTGAGCAACATGAATACAATAATTTCTGCTGCGTTTATCATTTTATGTGATTTATGAAATTTCTAACCTGCTATCTTCCAGGTATTAGCCTGTTCCTGGTGGCTGCCCACGAGTTCGGACACTCACTGGGTTTGTCTCACTCCAACATTAGAGGAGCTCTCATGTACCCTTCGTACAGCTATGTGGAGGATTTCTCCCTGGATCAGGACGACATTGATGGTATTCAGTACCTCTACGGTGAGCGGACAACTCAGTACTCTTTCACAATAAATTTCGTCAAACACATGAAAACTTTGCCTTAAAGAACATTCCCATATTTTGCAGGAAATAAAACAGGCCCTGATTCTACTCTCAGCACCACAGAAGAACCGGACCCAACTGTTTCATCTGTAGTGACAACGCCATCCACTGTAGATCCCACCAAAGACCCCTGCAAGATCCTCAAGTTTGACACCATCACTGTGATTCAGAGACATCTGCATTTCTTCAAAGATGGGTAAGGAAATAGCTAGTTCTACTTATGTTCTAGAAACATAACCTATTGAGGTGCCAATCTTGCATTTCTGGTTAACAGGCAATTCTGGAAGGTACGAAGCAAGGGAGACGGAGGTCGAAAGGGACCATTTTCCATTTCTCAGAGTTGGCCAGCTCTACCTGCTGTCATTGACTCTGCCTTTGAGGATGTTCAGACCACAAAAATATACTTCTTTTCAGGTAAGGAGTGTTCTTTCCAGAGCTTATCAGAGCACTGAAATGTTAGACTATGAGTTTTAATCATATTATTATTGTTATATTAGGAAGCAGGTTATGGGTGAACACAGGAAGCAGTGTGCTAGGTCCCTACAGTATTGAGATGCTTGGTTTGCCCCCAAGTGTGCATAAAGTGGAGGGAGCGCTACAGAGAGGGAAGAACAAAGTGTTTCTCTTTAGTGGAGAGGACATCTGGAGGCGAGTAGAAATTGCCCCCTTTTTTAGACAAAATCTGTAATTTAACCCATCCTTAAACACATTTTATGTTAAAGGACCAACAGTAGATCTCATTCTATCGCTGATCCCTACAGGTTAGATCTCAATACCAGAAGGATTGACAAAGGATACCCTATGTATATCAGGGCCATCTTTCCAGGTGTCCCTGATGATCCTTCTGATGTGTTCAAGCACAAAGGTAAACATACCTTCTATCACTAAGCTCAGGAACCAAAATCCAAAACCCAGGTGTGGATCTACTGGGGTGGCGTGGGGTGGCAGTTCCCACCCCAAATGAGAGCCTTGCCACCCTTGTTTCCACCCAAGTTGTCGACTATGAATTCAATAAATGGTTATGGGAAATCGAACATTAAGCGCATAAATCTCTTTTTTCCGACAACATTGAATGCAACACAATGTAACCTGACACCTACTGCTGAGTAGCGAGAAGTGCGAGAGACAGCAGCATTGATATGGATGGATATAAATTACTGGACTGGACATTACCTGACTTATCGTGCGCCACACCTGCGTCATTGCTGTCCATTGAGTCAACATTATGTGTGGTCAGGAAATTACCATAGTCACGCAAAGAATCTGAAAAATGGACGCAATATTTAGCGGTTAATTCAATCCTATGAATTAGATAACAATGGCTTCAGATTTAACAGGTGAGGAAAAAGTTTTAACTTAAAGAAAACATTGAAGAAATGAGCAGT